TTCAGTGTCGGGTGGGCGTCACCTGGTAGTCAAGTTCGTCATGGCCGATGCTGAAGCTGCTCAACAGAACGCAGTGGTACGCGTCTTCGGTGCGGATTGCGAATTCGTGTACTTGATGTGCTTCTATCACGTGATGGCCAAGGTTCACGAAAAAGTCAAGAGTGTTCCGGACCGCTTAAGCGAGCAGTGATGGCGGACATTTACGACCTTCATTTCGCGACGACCTCAGCTGTCTATGACGAACAAGTGAAACAAGTGCTGACGAAATGGTCAGGTGACGAACACTTGGTTGGCTTCAAAGACTATTTCGAGCGCACATGGGTAACAAGCGCATTTTGGCGATGGCAGTCTTTTCATACGCCGAGTGGATTTGCCACAACGAACAACCCGGTCGAACAGTTCAAGAGGTTGATAAAGCGTGACTACACTCTCCGAACGAAGCACAAGATCGGAACATTGGTCCAGTTGCTCGCGGATTGCTGTCAGCATCAATCTGTCACCCCCAAGGTATTCAAGGAATTGCCTGAGCCAACTCAACAGCTCAAAGCTCGAGTAAAAGATTTCCGGCGCCGAGATCTCCTTCTCGACAGGATTTCTGGACGGTCGAGCATTGAGTTCTTACTGGCGTCCCCGAACCCGAATGAGGTTAGTGTATTGTCGCGCGGCTGTTCTAGCGTTTATCTACCTGAGTTGGGGCGTAGTAGAGAAACAGCCACTGTCTCGGCTCAGATGGGCACCAATTACGCTCGCATGGAGATGGAGGGTCAGCCGGATGGTGACTGGAGCGTCGACGTTACTGCGATGACATGTGGGTGCAAGTATTACTTCAAGTTCTCAATATGTATTCACCTTCTGTTTGCTCTTCAAGTTAAGAGCCACACCGGTTTGGATGGAAAGAGAACCCTCGTGAACTGCACGGTAGCGAGAAAGCGCCGCCGCACTCGGCAAGAAACTCCCCATATTAGCGGCGCGAGTTCCCAAGTTCCTGTTGGTCGTCCTCGGACAAACGGCCACGCACTTAGCATGGACTAACGCTTAGATAGTGTTGCATCGATGAAAACACTTTGTTGCGTCAATAAAAGCACTTGAATATTTTGATTTTTTGCTTGAGCTAGGTTTCTTGCAAAGCGATAAAGATTGTTTTTCTTGTGAAACTTCTCTTCATCCATGAGAACGCACTTAAATAGAACATCTCTCTTAAATTTATAAATAGATGCACAAAACGGAACTTTAAATATCTATCTATCTGAAGTCTACTTTATCGATGTTCATTCCGCAATCCGCCCTCACGATGGCCACCCCTGGACATGACTTCGGCTCCGCCCCCGCTCCACCCACCTCCGCGACAGAGTTTTTTTTAATGGTGCCAGCAGCAC